AGCGCTGCCTGCTGTCAGGATGGCCGAGCGGTGAGGGGGAGAGAAGCCGCGCCCCCAGCTGTCAGGATGACCGAGCGGTGAGTATACCACCGGAGCCGCTGTCATCCTGTCAGTTTCAGGATGACAACGGCTCTGTGCGTGGCAGAGCGGGAGATCGGTAAATATCGTTGATATTTGCCAATACTCCGTGTGAGGACAAACACTTGAGCGATCGTCTGATCACTCCAGGGTTTGTAAATAACTGGGGACACATAGTACTATGTGTCCCCAGTTATGAACAGGCTGTGCTTTACATCACAGCCTGTTTATTCAAGATTTCCTCAATGGGGAGAATCACTCAGTAAAGAGGCTCCTCCCCATTCAGAAACTATTGATAGTAAATATTTTACTACCACGTGCTGTGGCTGTATGTGTAATGCCCTGTGCGTTGTGCTGTGGCTGTATGTGTGTTGAGCTGTGTGCGTGTTGTGCCCTGTGTGCGTTTTGTGTTATGCAGGGCAACTGGTGGCGAGTAACTTTGAAGGCCTGGCTAGTAGGTCAGGACCTGAAATATTAAGCCCTGCTTTTGATGATACTTCTACCTGTTGGCCTTGCAATGTGTACATGATTCTGGCCCCCCTTCTGATCTGTGTTAGCTGAGAATTCTATGTTCTGGTGGGATATGTTCTATTAACATGGCATCTTTCTTGCTCATTTATTCGTCTCTTGATAATCCCCCCTCCTGTGTAATTTTTCACATTTGTCTTCTTCCACTCTCTACTTCTTGTTTCTGCTGCTTCTAACAGGCAGGATTCAGATCAATACAGGTAACCCTTCACATTGTTTTACTTTACATTTTGCTGGTCAGAGCTGAGCAATGTGTATTGCTATGTAGTATGGCAATTCAGTCCACACTGGTTAAAGTAAACCTGTCATGAAAGATGCGTGTGGAGTGCCATTACTGACATCTTACTAGATGATTGGCTGTCTGTAGCCTGAGTCATCCAGCAAATGATACTCTCTGATCTGCATTGGTTTAGTGACCCAGCGCTTTAGATGAGAACCAGGCAGCCAACATTTTCAGAAAGAGTTAAGCAGTGGCAGCTCATGTTTCTCCAATGGCATGTTTCCTGTAAGAAACAATCTTTCCAAATAAAAAAACTTAGCCTACACAGAAATCCCTAATGGTGATAGAAATGTAGTTGTTTTACTGTGCCTAGGGCCATTCCTTTTCTCTTTCCATGGCAGTGGGTTGTTCAAGGTGCCAGCAAGGTGTTTTAGATGATTAAAGCTCTTCACGGGTTCTCAAAGTGTATAAAAAACTTAAGTAAGAAATAGAAACCAATCCAATTTCCGTTTTCCAAAGCGCGATTAGTGGAATGTGAATCCTCATTACTTGGTATGAATCCTTGCCAGACTGTGTTGGTGGGCATATGAGCTGTTCATAGTTTGTTCTAGCTTGGTGATGCCTTGCCTTTTGCTATGACCAACAACTGTGACTTCTCTTCTTGTGCCTTCTGAACTTTAGTACTTAATAGTCTCATCTGTTGGTGCCAACAAGAAATAGAAAATAACATGCTCAAATCGAATAGACATGTGTTTACTTACAGCACAAAAAAGAGGGTCAGCGGGAGATGTACTGTATATATGGTATGTGTGTTTTTCACAGATATATGCGTTGTTTGCTTAGGTAATTTAACCCCCCCAAAAAAAAAAAATATTGCTAAAATATGTTCCCCCTGATTTTGGCTTCATACTAGTTGGGCTGTCTATGTGGGAGAGAAAGGAATGGTCCTCAGTTACAATTGTTCATTTATTAATATACTTACAATTACAGTCCCTAAAATGACTTTGTAATCAAAACAGTAACTTTGTCTCAGCTAAGTTGTAAAGTTTTGGATTGAATTGATACCATTTGTCCTCCCGCTTTAGCATTACTATCAGAGCAGGGCCCAACCTCCTAGCAACGCCGCCAGAGTCCAGAGTGGTTCTTCAGCTCGAGCAGTGCCTCCTACTCATGTGTATCCCGCTGGTTCTCAAGTGATGATGATTCCCTCACAGTTATCTTATCCTTCACAAGGTTACTATATACAAAGCGGACAGGTAAGCGTCGGCAACACCAAATAAACCTTGTTGGCTAGATTTTGTTTGTTCACCGCTTAAAATATATTGCATGTTTTTTGTTTTTTTTGCAGGGTCGTCCTTATGTAATGCCCACACAGCAGTACCCAGTGCAACCTGGCGCTCCTGGCTTTTTTCCTAGTGCTAGTCCCACAGAGTATAACGCATATGGTGAGTAAGATCTTTTTATTTGATTTTTTTAAAATATTTAGTAAGTGTACAGTGTTTACTTTTTGTTTTGCATATTTAAAGTTGTGCATTTGAATTTTGGAATGCGGTTTTGGGGGCTAGCAACTTTTCTTTATCATAGGTACTGTAACTGTGATCTTTCTAGCTGCTCTCCACACCTCCCCCTTCACGATGTTTATATGATCAGGAGTAGACTATATTTAGTTCAGTGTAGCTGCGATGCAGCAAAGAAGCTCAGTTTGAGTGGGGGCAGCGGTGATCCGCAGAACAAAGTCGTCCTGTAAGTTTAACTACTGTAGATTGTGGGGTTCTTGGGTTCAGTGAGGAGTTAATCTTAACCAGTTGACATCCGCGGTGTTAAACCCCCTTCCCATCCAGGCCATTTTTCAGTATTCAGCGCTGCGGTACTTTGACATTTATTCCGTCATGCAACGCTGTACTGAAATTAATTGTATACCCTTTTTTGGGGACAGATAGAGCTTTCTTTTGGTGGTATTCACCACTGGGGGTTTTTATTTTTTACTATATTAAGGAAAAATTACCGAAATTTTACCAAAACAAACTTTCCCCTATATTAAATGATAAAACATTTATTATTACCCAATTCTTTGGTAAAATATAAAAGACGGGGTCACGTCGGGTAAAAAGACACCGAACATGTCAAGCCTTAAAATTGCGTGCGCACGCGAAACCTCAAAAACGATAATCCCCAAAATTGGCCATAGGCGACGCTTTAAAAGCTTTTACTGCTCATCAGTTTAGTGTTATCAGTGATTGATGGCCCTAAAATGATTGCTCTC